TATATATATATATATATATATATATATATATATATATATAAAAGAAGAAAATAATAAAAGTCACAGAATAATAGAGCTTAAAAATTCAAATTGATAAAAAATAAACATATTATTACAGATATTTTTCCCACAGTTGAATTAGTTGACAAATTTTAATTGACAATCTTTGAAAACATTACTGTAGTTCTACAAAAGAGATAAATAAACTTGTTTTTTAAATGTTAATAACTTACGAGCTAAAGAGATTAAAAGTTAATTTTTTTCCGCCGTCGTAACATTTCAACCGATGACAACATGACCGAGTTCGTGTAAAAGATGAAAAAAATTTTTTCTTGACCATACTATGGTAGATTTTTGTAAATGATTTCTTATAGTTTCAGAAACTACCCTTGAATTTTCTGTATAATTACTGGTTGCTGAGATATTGATGCTCAGTTATTTTGTCGTCGGTTGAAGTGTTACGAAACCTATATACATATACATAAGATATTATCTGCAAAAATAATAAAATTATGTTATTCACCTTGATTTTCTGTTTTTCGTTTCTTGACTGGTACTTCTCCCCCTTCATGCTGATTTACAAGTCTCTTGAGCTGACAGTTTTGGGAAAGCAATTGAGTTTTTTCTTGCTCTAATTGATATATGTATTCAGCAGTTTGTTGAAGAATAGCTGCCTGTAATCAAATTTTTATGTTTACTTGGTATGTTAAGAATACTTTTATATAGATAAAATTTTTAGTTTAGAAAACATAATTTTTAATATTTAAAAAAAAAACCGTCCTAATGATTGTAAAAAATTTGAAAAGTACAATTTAGTATGTAAAAATCTCAAAATTGAATGATTGGGAAAAATGGATGATATGACCATAAATAAATGTTCCATACACGATTATCAGGGCGATTAATAAGAAAATTTTCACCTTTATTTCTAGTCAATACTCATTACCTTCTTAAATGTTCATTATTGATGAGAATAGTATATTTACACACCTAGGGCAGGAAAGTAAGAAATGTCTCAGATCACATGCAATTGTTGGCCGAGGCGAAGCCGAGGTGTGTAAATATACTATTTTCAAGGTTGAACTGTGCAATTATATCTTAAAGGGTGGTTTTTTCAACTAAAAAATTTTTACTTTTTCAACATTAAAATTTTTATTTTTCGATAGAAATTAAATCGATTGATAAATTATTTTACGAATTCTTACTTAGATTCTCGAAACCAAAAACTGATTAGTCTCATTCAAATGACATGCAGAAAAACTCAGAAATACCTTATGCTCATGCATCGTCACTTTACTTTAGATAAAAACTGATGATATGAACAATTTAATAAACTCTACTTCCATTTTCGGTACGATTGCTAATCCCGACTGATTGTGGAATTCAAAAATAATTTTTTTGTTTCTATAGCTGATACCTCAATAATAAATAATCGTACAACCCTGATTAAGAAATCTTATTTGAAATGATTTAAATGCATCGGATTTGAATACTATATACAATTAACATGAAGGTAATCATTTCAAATCATCTTTCTGAATCTGGGAAAATTCGGAAACAACTCTAATTCAATAGAATTAGATTATCTGAAAGAACTTCATAAAAAAATTTCTTAGAAATCTTATTGGATAATAACCACCCAAAAACTGCCCACACGACAACATTTCAAGTACAAGATCTAAAACCTAAAATTTTGGAGCTTTAATTATTTTTTTTATAATACTCATAAACCATTTTTTTTTCGAGTTTTTGAGAGTTTAAAAAATCATAAGCCATTAAAAAGAAAAACATTTCGTGTTTCTTCATAGAGTTCAATATGATTCAAAGCTCCTTTGTTTGATTTTTACTCATAAAATAAGTTACAAATTAAAAAAAATACCCAAATAAAAATACCAGCTTATAAGTTCGAAGAAAAAAAAACATAATAATGATACTAATTCAACTTACTTTAGATAATTTTTCACCTTCATGGTGAGGCAATAATGTTCTGAGTGACTGGAATCCAGCATTAATACTCTGCATGCGTCTTCGTTCATTGCTGTTGGCGATTTCTCGCCGCATCCTTTTCTCCTGTTCCATGTGACCTCGAGTTGTCAATTTATTTTTGTGTTCAATGTTATATAAACTTGTTTGGCTAGGCAATTGTGTATTATCTAAAACGTGTTCCAAATCCAATTTGGAACTTAACGGATCCGAAATTTTTATACCTTTTAGTTGATGATCATCATAATTTGAAACATCAACTAAAGTCGCCGTTCCAAGTGAGTTTTCGTCTGTACCATTGACACTAAAAAAAAACAAAAAAAAAGAAAAAATAGATAAAAATACTGTTCTGTATAGGTACAAAATTTGTTCCATTTAAGAAAAATAATATTCATTTTCAAAATGTGTTTCATTTCATTAACTTTAACGGCGGATTTTGAGGAAAAATTTAAAAGAAAAAATTGTTTTGTCGATTTGCAACTTTTATATCCGAAAAATGCGCTCTATTTTTTTTTAACTTGTGTATTAGAAGTAGAACAATTAAGAAGTAATCGTATATTACACATCTAGGGCAGTAAAGTAAGAAATATTTCAGATCACATGTAATTGTTGTCCGAGGCGAAGCCGAGGTCAATAAACAGGTGATCTAAGGCTTTCTTATTTACTGCCCATGGTGTGTATACTATTTTTCTCGCCTCCGGGCGGAAAGCATAAACTTTCGTCCCGCTGCGCTGAATGAAAATACTGCTTTCCGCTTCCGTCGAGGAGAAAAAAAAATTTCAAACTTCTATACTGATAAAAGGATTTCTTAGTATTAAAAAAGATTTGTTAATATTTAACAAATGATTTCTTAACGAGCCTTATTTAAGAAATATTTATTAATAGTTTCATTTTCACGTTCTTGGCAACGATCGACGTAGTTTTAGACTCCGAAAATTATTTTATTTCTTCAAAAACAATTCAAAAGAAATGTTGACGTTATGTAAAAAAAAACATTATCTTCGATTATTCGTTAATTCATTCAAGAGTTATTGCGGTTCAAAAGTTCAAAAAATAGTGTTCTATGAAACTTCAATCAAACTTTTGACTCGAAGAGCTCAAAAACGTCATAAGTGCAATTTTAAGCGCTTAGATATGGAATTAGCGGACGTTGCTGGGATGGCCTTTAGGGTCAACCGTTTGCCAGATTTTTTTGTGATGGTGCCATAACAAAATAACCGCGACAAAATAACCGGACGACAAAATAACCGGACGACAAAATAACCGCGGACAAAATAACCGCGACAAAATAACCGCAGATAAAATAACCATGTGACATTACAACCACGTTACAAAATAATCTAACATCATCACCCACGAATTTTTAAAAGATACATAAATTAGAAATTGTAGTGTGCCTTTATTTTCATGGATTTTATGTATGTTTATTTGTAAAAAGGCCGACACATAATATTTTTACTGAGTTGTGCTCGTTTAACATGGTGTTTATGTGTATTTAATTGACATTAGATCAACACAAACGCGGGTAATCGTGTTGTGCTCTTTTAACATGGTATTTATGTGTATTTATTCGACATTAGACCAACACAAACGCGGGTAATCGTGTTGTGCCCTTTTAACATGGTTTTTGTGTGTATTTATTCGACATTAGACCAACACAAACGCGGGTAATCGTGTTGTCCCCTTTTAACATGGTTTTTGTGTGTATTTATTCGACATATGACCAACACAAATGCGGATAATCGTGTTGTGCCTTTTTAACATGGTTTATGTGTGCATTTATCCGACATTAGATCAACACATGAGATTGTTGCCATGTTGTGCCCTTTCTAACATGGATTTTTTGTATGTTTATCAAAGAATATTTTTTTCCAAAATATTTTGTCCGCGGTTATTTTGTCCGCGGTTATTTTGTCCGCGGTTATTTTGTCCGCGGTTATTTTGTCCGCGGTTATTTTGTCCGCGGTTATTTTGTCCGCGGTTATTTTGTCCGCGGTTATTTTGTCCGCGGTTATTTTGTCCGCGGTTATTTTGTCCGCGGTTATTTTGTCCGCGGTTATTTTGTCCGCGGTTATTTTGTCCGCGGTTATTTTGTCCGCGGTTATTTTGTCCGCGGTTATTTTGTCCGCGGTTATTTTGTCCGCGGTTATTTTGTCCGCGGTTATTTTGTCCGCGGTTATTTTGTCCGCGGTTATTTTGTCCGCGGTTATTTTGTCCGCGGTTATTTTGTCCGCGGTTATTTTGTCCGCGGTTATTTTGTCCGCGGTTATTTTGTCCGCGGTTATTTTGTCCGCGGTTATTTTGTCCGCGGTTATTTTGTCGTCCGGTTATTTTGTCGCGGTTATTTTGTCCGCGGATATTTTGTCGCGGCACC